CATAGGGTTGGCCAGAAAACTTTGTGAGACACAATTGCAGATCTTGACGACTCCCATGATGCCATATTTATGTTGAATATTCAAACCACAACAAGAATGCATATCCAAACAAACAAAAACATGGCATGGCGATCAAAATTCAAAACGAGCGATCGTGACAGGGATGGGAAAAGTGAGAACAAGAAGGTGAATGGGCAGAGTGTCTCCCACACAGACCTACAGATTTTACATTCCCATTTTGATTGCTAAGCCATCCCATTCCCATAAAATATCCTAATAATAATATGAGTTTTTGTTTTAGCATTTCATTGGTGTTAAAATATTGAAAAGTAAAAAATGTCCCTTTTAAATTAAAAGTAATTTTATTAATTTAGAATGATGAATCTATATCTATAAAAGAGGAACTATGTATGTATGTGTGTATATATGTATTATACGTTATGGACTCTGAAAGCGCTTGACAGATTGTAATTAAACTTTCAGGCATTATTCAGCATCTTTCAAGGATGGTTCGAGTAAAGTTTGGTGCAGATCCGTCAAAAGGGCTCTGCCCCAGAGGGTTTTAAGTGGGCCAAGACTTTTTTATCTACAATGTTTACAAATAAATATAATTCAAATTATAACAGGTTACGTACCTTGACGTCCACAATTCCTTAGTCGGTATCCGTTGACTATAGTTTCGACTACTGCGTAGTCATTATCAAAAACGGAACGTTAAAATATTACATTTGTTGAATGTCGTCAAATCTTAAATACATTGAACACACAAACAAACATAACACGAACACGGTAGACATTTAACATAATACCGACTAAGGAATTGTGGACGTCAAGGTACGTAACCTGTTATAATTGATTACCAATTCCGGAAGGCTTCAACATGAATATAATTCAAAAGCAGATGTTTACTTTCACCAACTGTTTTGTAGGTTTGAATAATCACAACATTCTGTATTAGCAATAGTCATGATTTGAAATAGTGCCACAGTGTTTCTACAGAGTGCAGCACAGAAAACTATTTTACTTTTCAATAAGTCCAAATGTATTAAACCCCTATCGCAGCACACCTGTGCACTTAACAACGTTTAAATTCTCCAATGTTAAATATTAAAACATAAAAACCTTTATCAAAGTATTATGAACAATAAAAGGGATGACTTAAATACTTTAAATTTATGACAACAGCTAATTTGCACCCAAAAGGTGAATGAGCGTAGTGAACGAACATCAACCTGGAGGCGAGTAAGCGTAGCGAACGAGCTTACCTGAAAACAAGTGAGCGCAGCGAACAATTTCCAACCTGAAGGTGAGTGAGCGTAGCGAACGAACAATTAACCAGGACGTGATTGACCCATGCGAATACTTATGAAGTTAAGCGGGGCAAAGCCCGCGGGTACAGCTAGTTTTGTATATTTTGACAAAAAAAATTGTTTTTTTGGGGGGAGGCCTCTGTTGATCCGCCCCTGAATGTGATCTACTTTCATTACCATTACGTTATGTCAAACATGAGAAATTTTGCTGACGACTCGGAGAGAAATTAGATCCCTGTGTTGTGTTGTTGTGATATATTTAATTTGAGCCATAGTTAAACTATGATTTTCAGAGTATCGATCATATTATGATCACAAATTTTATATCAGAGACTAAAATATCCTGAGGAAATCTAGTGCATCGTCACAGGATTAAATCCTTTTAGAATGTGTCCGCACAATCAATTATTCAAGATATATATGCCTTCTAAAGTAATTTTGTTGGAATAACCTATGAATTTAATTTAATGGAGTTAATTGGATACCAGAGATTGTCGGTTGTCTTGTTTAAGTTAATTTGTGTGTCTACTATTTATGTCTGAATTCATTGTAACATATATATTAAGCTCTAATTTGTTTATATTTTATCGTCTACGAAATTCTATCTGTGGTTTTACCATCTTGGTATCTTTACCGAATCATCAAACAACCCAATTGGTAATTTCCTTTATATAACTCGACTTAGTATCCTAAATTGCAATAAAAGTGAAGGAATATGTTCTCTACTGTGAACATTTTTGGTTATTCTTGTTAAGTTATCTGTGGGTTGGTGGATACAGTAGAGTCCCGCAAACTCGGCCTAATGTGGACTGGAAGGGTGCCGAGTTTGTGAAAAGCCGAGTTATCGGGAACTAGGGTTAAAAACAAGTACAATACAACTTTTAAGCTTTTTAACCGCCTTTTTTATTTATATTCATATTACAAGTCAGTATAAAGTCATCAGATATTGTACAACCAATCCTTGGTACGAGTTGTGAATGATTTCACTTGAGCTAGCTTAAGTCCATGTTTAACTTGGACTCAAAAAAATCACAACTTTTCTGAGCCAGGAGATGGCCGAGTTATCCAGACTGCCGGGTTATCGAGTGCCGAGTTTGCGAGACTCTACTGTACAAGTTTTGCTTCTAACATTGATCAATAGGAAATGTGTAGGCCTATTAGTTATAGATTACGTTGTTTGTAAACCAGCTGGCTTATGTTTAGCTTTGAATACTTCATAAAGTGTAGGCTATAGTACTAACGTGAATTGATGAGTATTTTTTATTCCTCCATACCATCCGTTATTAGCACAATTTTCAAGCAAGAAGTAGAACTTACAACTTGTACAATTTTTTTTTTTATTGACAACTTGTATTGACACACTTTTAATCTTAAAGATTGCATATAAATTATTCTTAAATTCCTCTTTCATTCTTAGGCTGTAACTAAGCTATAGATAAAAATAGTCTATGATTCATAGACAGAATCTAATTTAAAAAAACAATAATCCGGCCCAGCTTAGCTATCCTACAATCTCCAGGGATGAACCCTGATGGTGGAATAGTGAATCTGATATGAACTACAGTGATGACGAAGATAGTGAAATAAGTTACAATGAATATTACAACATTGGAAACTATAACTCAGAAGACTGTGAGATTGAGCAACAGGATAAGTGCAAAAAAGATCCAGAGTTCTTTGATTACCAGTCTTAGTGTGGAAGAGGTTGAGTGATTGCTCACTGAGTCAGTAGAAACTCCTAAGCACTAGTCTCCAGATTCATTTTTCTAAGTCGTCCGGTTGCCGAAGCAGAAAGGACTAAGCAAGAGACAGACCCTCGTCAACCATTACACGGCCACAAACCTGCAGAGCGACGGCTTCGGTCCAGAAAGAGCTTTTAACCCAGACACGAGTCCTGGATGGATCACTCTCAAGCAATCGGGTGGCAAGGTGGGAGGCCATGTTGACTAGCCCTCCCATACCAGCCAGGGAGGAACTGGCTCCTGGTGGAGGCCTTCATTACACGGTGTGGAAGACCCTAAATCAAATTAGGGTCGAGGTACCGAAATGCAAGACAAACATGCATAAATGGGGTCTCTTACCACATGAAGAAAACATCTTGTGCGCGTGTGGTGCTAATCAGGATCCTGGCCATCTGCTGATCTGCCCACGCCTAGACCAGTCTTGCACATTAGATGATCTTTTACATGCGAATGACAAAGCCATATCGGTAGCTAATTTTTGGAAAAGCGAAGTCTGATTTCCGGACATGGAAAGTAAGTCTCCAGATAACACCCTCGCTAGCCAAAATGCTGTTGCACACCCACGAGTGGACTATTCCTACAATCATCAGTGAGTAACAATCAGATGCTTCTCGTCTCTGCTTCGTTACGTCCAAGATTAAGCCTCTGACCCAGCCTGAACCTGTGTCCAATTGCCTGCACAGTTCCCAACTATTGATTGGAACTATTGATGGATGTTTCTACATTGCTGGCCAAGTGTGTAGATACACCCTGCAGTACACCTATCCCTACGCCTGCTACATGGAACCTAGATCCCGTATGAACTGTTTGAATATCAACAAGCTCAGCTTGAGGCAGAAATTGAAAGTCTCTCTTGGATAATAGAACAAGCTGAATCTGCAGGTAGAGGAGACTTAGAGAATCAGTCTCCTCATATATAAATGGCATGACTTTGTTGCACTACATAAGAGCCTTGCATGTTTTAATGGTCCTCTAACAAAATCAGAATGATCAGCTTTTTAATAATCAAATCAAATCAATTTATTGTTGTAGACATTTCACAATGCTTTAACAATCGTCATAAAATAAATGCTGTTATTAATACAGCAAATGAATACTTAAATGTAATCAATCAATATAATAAGTTTAGTATTAAAAAAATATATAAATACAGGCACAATTAAATAGAAATATTCTGACATGTAAAAAAATGGGCATTTTTGTATTAAATGTTTTCAATTTTGATTTGAAAGTGTTCAAGGACAACTCCCAAGACTCCACTGATAAATTACTAAACAATTTAGCAACCATGTATTGAATGTTTTGTTTGGCTCTTTGAGTATTTACAAAGCACTGTTTGCAAGTTGTTTTAAAATCTGGTTTCATAATTATGTCTATTTGAATTTTCTGAGAACATTTCTAAATGATTTTTTACATACAACAGAACTTGAAGAATATATATTGCAGGCAAAGTTAAAATTTTGAAATGTTTAAATATAGGTTTACAGTGAGTTCTAGAGCATAGGCCTACACCACTTACAAGCCTTATCGCTCTTTTTTGCAATTTAAATAACTTTTTGGTATATGATTGGAAACCCCACACCAATATTCCGTAACTCAATAAACTATGTATCTGTGCATAATACACTGTTATCAAAACATCTTGTGTTACACAACCTTTTATCTTCTTTGTAATAAACCTCTGGATGACTGGTACCCGGCTAATGGCCTGGCCTTAAATGTAAAAAAACAAATATTCAACTTTTCTGCTAACTACAGGGAAGGAGGGAAGATTCAAACCACATTACCCTTTTCAATCATTATACTACCAGAACAAAATTGAAACATTCTTGGATAAATTGTAATAAGAAACTTAACTGGGCATGTCAAACTGAAGTTAATAATCAAAAAAGAAAGTTTTTATAACAATAATTTCATAAGTAATACATCTGGAAAAAATAAAACACAATTAATAATATAAAATGTGTATTGTGTATCTCTCATCATTAATTACATAATTGTGGTATCTTGATCATGGGTAACGCTCCTCATTCAAAAAATATTTTTAAATTACAAAAAAAGTAATGAGTTAATGGTATAGTTGCTTGTAGAACCTCCAGTATTAACAATACGGGTAATGCTCCTCATTCAAAAAAGATTTTTAAATTACAAAAAAGTAATGAGTTAATGGCATAGTTGCTTGTAGAACCTCCAGTATTAACAATACAATGGGTAACGCTCCTCATTCAAAAAAGATTTTTAAATTACCAAAAAGTAATGAGTTAATGGCATAGTTGCTTGTAGAACCTCCAGTATTAACAATTAACAATACAATGGGTAATGCTCCTCATTCAAAAAAGATTTTTAAATTACAAAAAAGTAATGAGTTAATGGCATAGTTGATTGTAGAACCTCCAGTATTAACAATACAATGGGTAATGCTCCTCATTCAAAAAAAGATTTTTAAATTACGAAAAAGTAATGAGTTAATGGCATAGTTGCTTGTAGAACCTCCAGTATTAACAATACAATGGGTAATGCTCCTCATTCAAAAAAGATTTTTAAATTACCAAAAAGTAATGAGTTAATGGCATAATTGCTTGTAGAACCTCCAGTATTCACAATTAACAATACAGTTCTCATGGTCTGGCCAGGATTCTTTCTTAGCGAAACCATTGAGTATACACACTTCCAACCTAAAGTTTCTCCATAGATAAATCATACTCCCTTAGTAGATTTGTCATCCTTATGGAACAGCTGAAGCCAATTTTATTGTTGGTTCTGTACGTCCAACTGTAGAGGTTATGTTTTGTTTACAATTTGTTTCTTGTTATTTCAGTCATTTAAAATCTCATTTAACCAAATAAAACGATTTAATCATAAACAATAACTGGTCTCCTAGTTATATAACCAAATAGTAAAGCACAAATCATGAAAATAACACTAAAATAATAGAAACAAAATGTTCTCTACCCCAGCGAACAGTGTGGACGTACATGAACTAGACACAAAAAACAAGCTTCAAAATTTACAATGGGATAAGGAGTCTACTTGTGTTGCTTAGTCTATGGTTTCTCATCCTGGTCAGACTATGAGAACGGGCTTTTACAGGGGGTTGTATTAAGTAAATATGAGTATTTGTTATTTTATAGTCTGAAAACCTCAAAGCTCCATCGGTTTAGAGGATGTATTAAAAATAGCTTTAAAAAACAAACAAAAGTAGTAGGCTATATTGTGTCTTTTATCCCCCGATGAAGGGTTATGGAGGTATAGGTAAGAAAAAAATAGTATTCCATAAAATTTAAAGTGACAACTGTTGATGAAAATCCACTTTTGATTTGATTGGGTGTAAGAGGGTGAAGCTATCCAGCATGATGAGTTTAACCATTGGGTATACACTTAACTTGATAGCACTCAAGTTTTGTGTGTTAAGTGTTAAAAACTTATGTTTAGGTATATGTTGTTGGGTAATGTAATGTTTAATGTTAAATTTTGACAGCTTTGAGTTTAAATCAGCCAATACACCAATTATTATAAAATTATTTAATGAACCTAAAGAAATTATTTTACGATCCATATTTAAAAACTGCATTGCTTTTGTTGTTCTAATAAATTGTTCTTAGTAGACTCAGTGGCGTAACTAGTCTGACTGCGCCCCAATGCAAGTATTCTCCGTGGCTCCTATTCATAGACTCATTCTCCCCAATAAGCTCCAACAAAACTAACATTTTGACATTTCTCCATACTTCCACACTTCCTAAATAATATTTCACTAGCCTACACACGACATTGTACAAGCACTATCCAATCAGAGAAAGATTATTCAAAGAAACATCATTTATTAAGTAGGCTTATTTTTAAAGTTAATTACTTAAAAAAATATTATTCAAAAATCATTTGAAAGTAAAATTAAGTTAGGCTACTAAACATTTCCAAACACCATCAACATAACTAGTAAGGATTGCATTACATACTTACAATTAATTAATGTACTTTTTAGGACAATAAAATATAGACTAGAGGCCTACTTCTTACTTTACTTAACATGTTATATTCATGCATGTCCTATACAGCATTACCGATATAGCAAGCTACAATATAATGTTAATTTTCCGTACCAGCTAAAGTGTCAGCAAAATCCCATTTTTTTTTTTACATGTCTATCTTTGGTAGTTTTTTCACTTGTTCATCTTTGTTTTTTTCCTTTTTTTTCGGAACTCAACGCCACTAGGTCTTTTGTATGGTCGCCATTTCATAAAAAAGTATTTTCGTCCATTTCGTTCAGTATATCATAACAAAATCTACTAAAACGCACCAATAAACGGTCCACTAATTTCTATTGTATAACAAATACATTGTCTAAAGTTGTTTTGTATTGTTACAATACAAATAACACTACTGGACCGCACGATCGTACAACAAAGACTGACAGGGACATGTAGTTGTGGTTTCTAAAATAATACTGAAAGATTTGATCCCTCTATCTTTGTAGCTAACAAGGATAAATAAACAAGAGCAGTCTATTCTTGTTATAAGCGCAGCTGTGCAACATTGCACCGAGGAGATAACAATAATAGTAAACAAAAGAGTCGCAAACATTCTGTTGTGACTGTAACGGAGTAAAGTACCATGAATATTTTTTTACATTTAATTTTAGTAAGCTACAGAAAGTTTGGCTTCAACATATTTTTTTGCTAAAAATTTTCCAGAGTATCAGTTTTAGCCCCCCCTCCCCCTAAGACCTGCATCTCATTGCATTGGTATTAGTTACGCCACTGAGTAGACTGTGTTTGAATGTTGACATGGTTAAAATGTACAGACTACAATGGCTAAAGAATGTACAATTTTTAGTAGGGTAAGTTAAATCACAATAATTATGAATGTTGTCCTTGTTACAATTATTAAAAGAGAGACTTAAAATTCACCTGAATAATGATGGTAGTTAACTGGTTTTGTATACTGTTCACTCAATTTCAAGTTTTGATTTAAGGCTCTGCATCCGTGAAACAAGATCAGCAACAAGAGAATCAACATACAAGAGCTTGTTGTCCAATGTTTTATTCTGTTCCGCAGAAGATAAGAAAGTGTTGATCAAAGCTAAACTGTCGTTAATGGTACCACAATTTGTCTTTATTCTGGAAATGGTGAAGTCAACCTGATCATCAGACTCATTCCGACTTTCCTCCTCAGTAGTGACCTCTACAATCAAATAGTCAGAAATATTTTCGTCCATTTCATGGAATTTAGTGACAGCAACATATGGTGAAAGTTCTTGACAAAGATACATATGCAACTTGTGGACATGTACACACAATGGGTGTTCGTCTGGACAGCTGCATTGATACATGTGACGACACAATTGATGACACTCAAGGAATTGACATCTAAAAGTGCAAGAGTCTTCAGAACATACCAAGCTATATTGAACAATTGCATAATGCTCAGTCCCCAAAAACATTTCCCAAATATTTCCCAATACTTTAGAAATAGCAGCATTACTTATGAGTACTCCTTGTTCATGTCGTTCAACTAAACCTTGGTGCACCGGGGATAAAAACTCTTCTGTTGAATCTGTTAATTGGAAAGGATCTTCTAATTCCATTAGTTTGAGGGAATTGATTAAGTGAATTAGATTTGTATTGACACTTTTCTTGAGATTAACCTTTAACCTGTTGTGAAAGGCTTGCAAGAGTCCGATGGTATTCACATCGCCATGAGGGAACCCCCGGTGGCACATTGCCCATTTCTCTGGCCTAGTGAGGAAGTTTTTTTTAAAATATTCCAAGTACTGAACTACTTTTCTGTTTTGTTCATATTTTGCTACAAACTCGTTGCAGAGACGAGTAAACAAAGTCACTTCGTGTGCTGTTATCATCATTTCGATCTCATTTAACATTTCCTGAAAAATATTCCCGTTGACATAAGACTTAAGTTTGTTTTTCGTGTTATTAAATATATGCCACAAACATATGATGTGGTGGAACTCTCTTGAAAATCCAACATTCATCGAACTGATAATAAAGTTATTGTCACTAGTTAAGACACAGTTTATGTCAAACTCATTGCCAATTCGAGCCTTAATGCTGCTAAAGAAGAACATTAACGATGCAGTATTTAATCTGCTAGTTATACAGTGACAGACTGGCTTCCCAGCACGGTTTTCATCTACAACCATACATGTTATTAAATGAAATTTATAACGGTTAGTACCAGAAGCTATGTCAACAATCATTATTTGTTTGCCATATTTTTTCAAAAGTTCCAATTGACTTTTTGTCTGCATTGCAAACATAAATAGATTGTTTGACTCAGGTAAATCATTCATGCTTATTGGGCCATGTACAACCTTTCCCTCAGTAGGTTTAAAAATCAAAAGAGAGTCATCTCTAGCCATATTTTGGGCTAGTAAATAAACTGCCTCAGCATCTTTCTCGTCCATTCTAATGGTCTTTTGTTTATTTGCAGTTGCTTTCATTTTTCTTCTGAAGAGAATATTCAATTTTTGATTCTTAACATTAATCCTGGTTTGCAGATCTGGTGACATTATGATTTTTTTCATTATGCTGTTGGGAGATACTTGATCCATACATTCCTCATTGATTAGGGTAGAAGTGTTTTTACGCAAAGGGCGGTGGACTACATCTTGGGGGTTGCACTGGTGACAGTGAGTAGGCAAATATTGCAAACATATTTTTTCATTTTCATCTTTCCAAACCTTCATTTTGGCAAAGCAAAAATCTCCAACTTTAACTCTCCCTCTATGGACTTTCCTGTTTGTCTTTCTCTTAGAATGTAACTTAGCACTTCCATCTCGTTGGCAATAAAAGTGTTCATATTTCTTACCCTTATTACTCGATCTCTTTGTGAAACATGAATAAGTCTTTTCTTCTTCTAATCTCTTCCACTGTAAGAACTCGTCATAAGTTTCAAATTTCTTTTCGACAAAATCTTTTATCTCAAAATCTTGATGACACGCACGCAAATGTCTAACCAAACCTGATTTGTGGACAAATTTCTTGTCACAGCTTTTTACTAAACAGGGTGTGCTACATTTGGGAACTGTGCCTGAGCATTTTGTAACATGTTTTTTAATGTAGTCGTCACTATAAAAATTGTTACATGTAGGACAAGTACTTCCACTTGATCTAGCACTGTTAGAAGGGCAACATTTCTCATGTCTTATGCAGTTTCTTTTCGCCGTAAACAAATTTCCACAAAACTGGCAAGTGTATCTATTGATACAAGGTTTATCGATAGTCCCACAATTCGACAACATCTTTCAGTACGACAGCTCGATCATCTGAAAAATAGTTTAATAATATAAACCAGATGTAATTGCAATATAGTAAACTTTCATAAGTCTAGGCAATCAAAAAAGAACGTTCCCTTCAAAATCTTTCTACAACAGGACAAAGCAAAATTTCACAGTCTAATAATAACAGTTTTGAAATTTTGCCTTATAAATTAGGCCTAGGGCCTAGGGGTTCAATTTAGACCAGACTACATCCTAACTCAAACTATTTACCACATAATCTACAAACCTTCCAATTGAAACAACATAACAAATGCAAAGGGTGGCAAAGTGGCTGTCAACAGACGAAGGGTTGAACATCGGCTGCTAAGTACATAAATAGATAGCCTAGTGTCAAGTGTCTATTGTCATAACTTTTACCAAGGGTGTAGTCAGAATTTTAGTTTGGCAGTGCTGACATTCACAGGTCAGTAGGAGGGGGGGGGGTTTATAACCCACAGGAGATCCGGAGGTTTGGTTAATTCTAGAGCAAAATAATTTTTTTCCTGGGTTTAAGGCGATTTGAGCATTTAAAATCTCTTATTTCAATTCATAACAGACCATAGGAACGTAACACCGAAGGGAGAAAACCAGGGTAAAGGTAAGGTACTTTGTGCCTTACCTTTACTGTTTGACTATTAGGCTTAGGCCTAGTATTACTAACACAGTCAAATTCATTAGGATGAAAAATTAAGAAATAATAACTAAAAATGTGATTTTTATTAGTTTAAAAATTAAACATTGATTGTTCTAAATTGATGGCATGGCATCAAAAGCGACAAGAAAACAATCTTCTTGGGCACGATTGCCATTACATCCAACAGAGAATGACAATGCCATACCGTTAGTGAAGAGTCGAAGAGTGCAATAACACACGTACGACATCAACACAGGTTTAAATAAATAATTAAATCTTTACTGTCACATAACGTTTACATAATTATAACAATGCTATAAAACAGGTGACATTGTCAAAATACAAATAACTTAAAACTAAGGAGTTATAAAAGACTAAAATAAACCAAAACTATAATAATAAAAGTGTTATAAACATAATGTATCAGTTAAAAAATTTAGTTAAGCCTAAATAAATTTATTTTTACACAACTTTATCAGATAAGAACTCATCTATAGGCCCCTACTGTAATAGGTTTTTCTTAAAAGAAAATTAGCAAGGCTGCTTTTGAAATGCTTGGACTGTATTTTGTTCTTTCATTCTTGAGATGGTTTATTAAATAGTTTTTTGCCCAAATGTATGTCGCGGTTTTTTCTACTAATGAAAGACGATGCCGCCGATATTGAAAGTTAGTTTTAAACTTAGTATCATACCTATGCTCAACGTTTTCCCTACCTACATAATTTTTCAAAATTTCCTTCTACCATCAAAAGTGTTTTAAAAATTGTTTTAAACTCGGAACAGTCATTACTCCTAATTCTTTAAAAACTGGCTTACATGATGTTCTCCATGGTACAAATGTCATTATTCTTAAGCATTTTTTCTGAATCTTAAAAATTAAATCAATGTTTGATACAAAACCCCAGAATTCAACAGAAGTAGGCATATGCATAAGTTGACTTATGCATATGCCTACTAGGGTGCTAGGGTTAATGTTCATTAACCCTAGCGCCGGCAAACGCCGGATATATGGCGCGAACGGCCGCAGCCGAAATGGCAACGCCGGATATACGGCGCCAATGCAGGTGTTATAGTATATATATTATATTTTTTTTTTTTTTAGTTTTGTTCATTTTTTTAGGGATTCTGTTTTAATAATAAGTTAACCCTAGAGCTGGCACTAGTGTAACGCTGTACTGGCATGGGGATATTAATTGATTTAAGTAATATATCATTTTTAAACCATCATAAAAATTAGAAATAGCAACATAACTATGGATTATTAACTTATATATCATTTTGTTCGAAATAAGACAAAGAACAATAATAGGCCTATTAAACTAAAAAAATTTTAGTTTTTCCAAATTGTTGGCATTATTACTTTTTTTATAAAATGTTTTTATATTCCGTCGTGTAGCTGTGCAGGTAAGACTCATCATCATAAGGTAAATTGTAAAGTTGTAGTAAATTTTGTGCCGATTCCAAAAATATATGGTTTATATAGCTTATTTTGTGTATTTTGTTTGATAGCCCTATTATTATGTTGATCGTACCCCCGCGCTAGTACCAAAATATTCATCCAACCCAGGTCATGTACAAAAACGTACACCTTATATAATATATATAATAATATAGCCTATAATAATAATAATAATATAATAATATTATTAATAAAAATAATAATAGGCCTATATAATAATAGGCCTATATATAGTACGTATAGAAATACGTACTAGTTTAATAAAAATGAATTTCAGGGTAGGCCTAATCTGGTTTGTATTATTTAACCCTCCAAGTGTCTCTAGTTTTGGTCTTAATGTTAGCCCATTTATTGCGCAATCGCAGGGTTTTATTAAAATGTGGTTATATATCATTTTGTTTGGAAAAATATGGGCTTCAACGTAACATATAAAACATTACAAAAAAAATGTTCAACAATTTTTGTGGGGTTAACATTTCTCAAAAATTATAAAATAAATGAAAAAAATTTATGTTTGCGCTCAATAAATTGTTATAATTTATAGGACTACAAATATTTTAAAATAGCCACTTTGTTCAGAATTTTATGAGGATTCCAAAAATATAATAATATATAAGGAAGTTTATTTGCAAATAAATAATTTATGGGCAAAAAACAGATTTTGGTACATAGCGTTTAGCTAAGAATGCATAGCCTAACCATAGCTAGGAATCTGGCTGATAATTTACATCAATATCACTACGGTACCTACTTCTTCAGGATCATCAACCAGCCCTTCAAAATCAATTAAATCTTCTTATAATGCACCACGTATATCACTACTTTTGATTTTTAACACTAAAACAACGATAAACGTAATAAAACACATCAGTCATCGGAACGAGGTTAACCAAGCTGTTTACAAATACGCATGTCAGCTGTCTGCTACAATTATGATCGGCTCGAGAAAAAAAAAGCGCTTAGAGACAGACCTCGGGAGAAAGGTTAGAATCTGCCAAAAAAACGATACCTAACTCGATCAAGTTCAATCCGATTTAGTCAGTCATAGAGCCTTCGCCGTAAACAGTGTTTGTGAGTCGCAAAAGCGACACAAAACACTACACAAAGTGTGTTATGAGTCGCTTTTACGACACATAACACTCGAAGGGTTAAAGAGTCCCAATTAAAGGGTAAATTAACTGTCTAGGTGCCAATTATGACTTGTGCCCCCATTAACTTAGTGGACAAAGGGTTCTTTTACGGCAATAAGTTTAAGTTAGTGCTATAGTTAGGCTAGTTACAAAATAGCTTATTCCCTATCCCTTTAAGACCCAGCACACTCATTTGTGTAGGTAAATTTTTAAGTCCTGACAACTTAACCAACACTAAGTTATTGTGTAGTTTAGGTTAGATGTTTATTTGTTTTTTTGAAGTTTCTGGATCTTTCTGTTGCTCAGACCTGTACGCATCGATTGTGTAGGTTATGGAGATCAGCTGGGAATTTTTGTTTTGCAGTCTGCCTTCATGTCTTATGGTAACACTGATTGTTTTGTTGCAATGTCATGGTAAGATAGGAGAAAGAGGCAACTGTTAAGGATAATGCCTGTTTTATTTATGTTTTTAAACGTATATACGGTAATGCTAATTATTGCTGCACCTGAAATGGTTAATATGGTATCATGAAGGTTTCGTCTAACAAACCTAATCAATAATTTTAGTATTTGAAATCTAGGTTAACCCTCCGAGTGTCACGCGTCATAAAAACGACGCACAACACACTTTGTGTAGGGTCACGCGTCGCTTTTAAGACGCACAAACATCGTTTACGGCGAAGGCTCTATGACTGACTGAATCGGATTGAACTGGATCGAGTTAGGTATCGTTCTTTCCGTAATATTCTAAGCTTTCTCCAGAGGTCTGTCTCTAAGCGCTATTCATTTTAGTTCCGAAAATATTGTAGTAGACAGCTGACGTGCGTGTATTTGTAAACAGCTAGGTTCCCCCGGACCGATGACTGATGTGTTTTATTACGTTTATCATTGTTTTAGTGTTAAAAATCAAAAGTAGTGATATACGTGGTGCATTATAAGAAGATTTAAGTGGTTTTGAAGTGCTGGTTGATGATCCTGAAGAAGTAGGTAGTGATATTGATGTAAATTATCAGCCAGATTCCTAGCTATGGTTAGGCTATGCATTCTTAGCTAAACGCTATGTACTGAAATCCGTTTTTCGCTCATAACTTATTTATTTGATAACTTACCTCGCTATATGATTATATATTTGTAATCCTCATTAAATTTAGAACAAAGTGGCTATTTTCAAATATTTATAGGCCTATAATTTATACAATTTTATTGAGCGCAAACTTATTTTTTTTTTGAAAATTTTCAAAATTATATTTTTTTTACCTAAAAATTTTTTTTTGAAAAAATGTTCCTTATGTTTTATATATAATATTGAAGCCCATGATTTTCCAAACAAAATGGTATATAGAACATTAGAATTAACATTGTTTTAAGCTTCTCAGATCCGTTTTAATAAAACCTTGCAAAGGGGCCAAAAATAGGTGGACATTAAGGCCTAAACTATGGACACTCGGAGGGTTAAAAACCAACATTTATTCAAAATTTGCTCAGGACTTAAAGCGGTCAAGATGACTAAGATTCCCGGGTCTGAAAGGGTTAAAGGGGAAATTCGCTAAAAGGCTATGATTTATATAATTTATTTTAAAACAAATAAAATCATTATGTTTAGGCCTAAACTTATTTTGTACAATCGGTTCTCAATTTAGGCCTAAAAGGCCTAAGTTATAGGTCGTGACCCACTGGTTTTATAGTCCTAGGCTATAAATTGTGGGATTTGGATTAACTTAATATTGTCATAATTTATTTAACAATAGGCCTAGTAAATCCACCCTCAACCAAACCTTAACTTACAACAGCTCGGCCCTAGGCCTAACTCTTTCCTATTTTAGGCCTAACTTAAATATAAGGCCTATCCTAGGTCATATAATTTAAAGGTAAGTAAGTTATACCTACCTAATTAAACCATGGCTGTTAAAAGCTGAGCTGAGCTGATATATTTTCAAAACTTACATCAAAATAACCAATGGTAGGCTAGGAGAAAATAATTTTAATCCTGCACGTATTCACGGTAGAAACTAGTAAGTAGCAAACTGTCCATCCATGGCAAGAAGATTTTAAAAAGGTTAGATAAGTTAAGTTTTGTCTAGTAAGTTAAGAGAAAGTTAAGAGATAACTTAGGGGTTACTTTTACTTTTCGTTTTTCTAATTCTCTTATTCTATTCACTAAACTTTTCTAGGTTAGTTTTCGGTTTTCTGTTTTCACTTTCCTGTTTCCTTCCTTACTTCCAGTTTCGAGTTTCCCCACCCCACTCCACAGTTTTATAGCAAAATACCCCCGCCGCAGCAAACCTGCCGACTAAGCGAATTTCCATTTGTCTGAATTGATTTTCAGTTAAATATATTTTAATAACATTAGGTTTAACGAGTACCTAGGTTTGGGTACGATGCCATAGCTTATAATGTCATAGCTTATAATTGCGAATATGTTGCATAGCTTATAATCTTGAAAATGTGGCATAGCTTATAATGGAAAATTTAAATTGTTCCATAGCTTATAATCGTAGAAATGTGGCATAGCTTATAACGGTTTTCTTAAAATGTGGCATAACTTATAATGGTATAGCTCAAATGTGCTGCAGCTTATAATATCTCGTTTGTTCTATAGCTTATAATTTTAAAAACGTGGCATAGCTTATAACGCGCGGGAATTACGTCATAGCGGATGGGACAGCTGATCGATCCTGAGTAGACAAAAAAATTATCGTGCAATGGTCCTCAAATTATCGTATGGACTAGCAGCCGCTACTCGGCATTCCTACCATAAAATATCGTATATATGGTAGACCTGACTGAAGCGAGCAGCTGATGCCATTCCCACAATGCAACATTCTCTTCAATTATAAGCTATGCCCCAAAATCAGGATTATAAGGTATGACTCAAAATCAGGATTATAAGCTATAGAACAGAATCGGAATTATAAGCTGCGCCACTATTTGACCATTATAAGTTGTGAAACTGAAAATGTGTCATACCTTATAACGTTTTAGAGAAATTGTGGCATAGCTTATAATTTTTCGTGAAAGTGTGGCATAGCTTATAACTGATTATAAGCTATGCCACATTTTCAACATTATAAGCTATGGAACAAATTCACGATTATAAGCTATGACATTATAAGCTATGACACCCCACGTAGGTTTGCTGCTACAAGGAAACTAATAAAGTGTGTTTTGAGTAAAATATTGATAGCTTAGTACAAAATAAATAAATTTGCCAAGTTTGATCAAAATATATCCATAAACAAGCAAACTACAACATTTGACAATATTCTCCATAAGAATAACATGGGAATTTAAATTTAAATTTTTTTTTATTTTCTCCGTTACTAATAACCGAACAAAAATACTTTTATAAATTATTTGTTTTTTTAAGCTCTTTAAAAAGGTCTAAAAAGAAATTGGTAAATTTTGTGTTTTGAGGGTCAAAAGTGAGAAAACCCAATTTTTACCCCATAAAACCCCCCCGTAAAGCCCCGTTCCCATGGTCCGATCATGCTGGTTCGCGAACTCGTTCAAGTTTATCCCGCTTTACACATTTAAACCAAATTTCATCAAAATCGGACCAAAATTACTCAAGTTATCGCGTTCACGGACGTATATATATATATATATATATATATATATATATATATATATGTAAGTGTATATATACATATATAAAATTTCAACGAATGGTGTTTTTGGCCTCTGGGGATATCAAAATGAAAAAGAAATCGGTCCCGGGTCTAGGTCTTACCGTGCCACTACGGTAATAGCTACTTCCCTATAGGGAAATTCGCTAAAAGCAAAAGGAAATGCCATAAAACATAATTGATGGCTTCGGCTTGTGATGGATGACTGATGACTAGGACTTAGGACCACTGAGCTATAATTCTAACTACTGGAGGTAGCACTGAATGTCAAAGATGCGTGTCGCCAGCCGCCATGTTTGCGTGTGAGTTATAAGAAGCCATGTTATTGGATAAGAAAACTCACTGCTATACCAACCTAGTTATAGAAGCCATGTTATTGGATAAAAAACTCACTGCTATACCAACCTAACAAAATCAGCGACACGCTTTTGACAGACTTCTGCAATGGCAGTGCTACCTCCAGTTATAATTTTAGCTCAGTGCTTAGGACTGACACAGTTTATAACAATTTTTTTTGTTTCAGTCTGTAAGTAAACTAGAGAATTAAAATTTTTAGCATGCTTTTAGTATTAACCATGCAACTGCACAGTTATCTTTAACTCTCATTTAATCTCTGTCCTAAAATTTAACCCTTAATTTGACAGCGTGCCATTATTGGCACATGAGGATTCAAAAAAATGTCACGTTCTCCTGTTAACTTTTTAATTCCAACAAATGGCGTCCAAAGGTTCTTTGCCTATTGCTATTATGGTTTAGTGCACTATAGTGGATGTTTTGGAAATTACTATCACTTTAGACCAACATATAAAAAAGGAAGTATGGAGGCTTAGTGTAGAAGGTTAGTAAATTACTTCTTATTTCAATATTTTTGGCTGTTTACTTATATATCTAAGTGATTTGCACAGATTAAAGATGAGAAAACATAACCCAGATCAGTAATTAGCTTAAATATGAATATTGATTTTTTTATAAACCAAACAATTTGAGTGTGACAAAAATGGCACATTGCCAAAGAACCAGGGAACAATGAAAATTTTTGGGCGTGCCAAAAATGGCACATTACCAAAGATGCAGTTATTTTTTTTTAGTTTATTGAGCGCACCTAAAGTGGCACACTGTTTATAAAAAAGTGAAAGGTATTTATATTTGTAAATGTATGTCTCTTATTACCACAAATTGTAAAATAAAAATGTTTTTGTGAGGAAAGATTTTTCACTAGGCTGTTTAGAAAAGACTATGGCTTTACAAAAATTCCCGACCATCCATGGCAACAAATATCTACCAAAAATATTGTATTTCCTTCTAAAAGTAAATCTTCTTATATGAAAGTTGAGTGTGCATTCCGATAAAGACTTTGGTAGGCTACTTACAGAAAGGAGTAAAAGACAAGTTCTAAAAGACAAGGATTTACTTCTTCTCACACCAGCTGCGCTGATGTATGTTGAAGATGTACGCTTTGATGGTGTTGGACACTACCATTTCTTTGTATACATCAAGAGGTCGATGTAGATTTTGCAAAAATAAAAATCGTCGATAGAGTGTTCAAAGTGCAATGCGAGGTTGTAACTGAAGGAAAATAGCAATTGTTTTGTGGGGTTTCACCAAAAGTAGATGACGTTTCTTGATGGACATACTCTAATGCAATTTCAAACGTTTTTCCTGATGGGCATGACTAATGAGATATCAATAAATTATATAATAATGTATTTTCTATTGTAATCACATAGTTTTGTAGAGATTTTACATGTGTATACATTTTAGTTCATTTTTTATAATGACGTTTATACCATTTTATATGGGATTGATAACTTTTGTTGAGAAATTGATTTTTTTATATCTTACATATAATTATAGTTATACAATTTTGATATCCAATATGTGATAATGTCGACTTATTCAAACCCTAAAGTTTATTTTTAAGTGCTATACAGATAAACTTGTTGTATTTAATTCAACAAAAGATTCCTAGAGAAATCTCTGCATCTTTGGCAAAGTGCCAAAAATGGCACACATGAAAAATTTGTGAAAAATACTTATAAGAATTTTAAAATTAATTTTTTTAAGTTCCTTTGGACCCTTTTGATTGAAATATTGCAAGGAAAAAGTAGTTTTCAAAAAATAAATTGTTTGCCAAATTAAGGGTTAAAGCCCCCCACAAACTACCAGACCCCCACGGCCACCTTTTAACTTTCTGTCTGGCAGCGGCTGCCTGTAGAATATTGGCAACGTTGGAATGAAATGAAATATGAAATTAAATATTATTTATTTATAACGTTGCAAGTAGTGTCATAGATAAAACATCCAGGAGTATGTTTAATACTTTAACTAGAGGACCCATGCTGCTCCGCAGCGTTAAAATAAATATATGCCGGCAGACTTTTGCTCGATCACTTTAAAAATACCATAAAACTAGTTTCATTGAGCAAGTATCTCTCCCATTAGTACATTGCTAGGTGAGAGCTTATTTTACAAAACTTGACCTTATTTGTGCCACATTTCATAAAATCATAATAGTGATGGTTTTATATTTACTGATTACCTCGAAATTATTATACTTAGTTGGACTAATTAATTAGAGAAGTTGATTTGTGAAATTATCCACGAACGTAACTTAAATGAAAAAAAACCAAGCAAAAGTCTGCCGCCAAGTTGCCAAACTTACATACATTACATTGTTTTTCTTGGCGGAAAAAGTAATGATTTATTATCTTTTTTGGATTGCTGACTTGGCGGGGAAAGTGTTACCACTTAGTGGTTTTTTGTTAGATTTTATTTATTTTTGTAGAAAATTAACCGTTCAAATAAAAATACTCTTTTCTCTGAAAAAAAAAATAAATTTTAATGCTAAAGTTGACTGAACTCTCGATCTTCCGGTAGTCTTTGCAGAGGGTACCGGTTTTGTACTCTCATCCTGCACTTTTTTGACATTTTTGGTCTGGCACCACTTCCTGTCTCTCACATAAGGAGCCGAAGAGGAGTCACAACTTGTGTTGTAAAGTGGAAGGTCAGACCTGTACTTCTGCCTTAGTCTGTTGTATTCGAGAATGGCGGATTTCTGAGGCTTCACATCTCTTGGGTTAAAGTTAATAAGATGAAGCCCTTCTAATGAAGTCACTCGTGACAAGGCAACATATGATTGGCCACATGTAAATATGGACTCCCCAATATCAATTATTACGCTATTTAAGCTGAGGCCCTGGCATTTGTGAATTGTAACCGCGTAGGACATCGATATCGGGAATTGCTCTCGATACACAAATGCGTTATCCATAACTTGAAACTTGACGTTTACTCGCTGTAGGTGATGGGTAATGCCACAATCAAAGTTAATTGTCACTGAGTCTACGTCATCAGAATTGTCTGTATTAAACCTCAACCCCGTTACTGTTCCAATGGCGGAGTTAACTAGCCCCACAGTGACGTCAATGTTTCTAAGCAACATAACTTTAGCACCAACCTTAATAGGAATAATTTTCTCCATACCAGCCGTTCTGCTGCAGTCAGAGTTGTAAGAGGACAGTATCTTTTTAACTTTGTTTTGTTGACGAGGTAGACAGTCAAC